AGGCGGCTTAAGGTGATGTATGACAAGATAGTCAAAAAGGAATTATAAGGATGAATGGTAAAACATGTGCGAGGACATTTTAAGGGAAAATCGAATACTGTAGAACTCCAGCTACGAATTTGGTGTAAAAGCTTGAGACCTAAGTCTTTTGAGTCTGAATTTCGATCTGCCAATGTGCATTATTCTATGACCTATGTTTGAACCCAACCTAGCAGAATCGGAAGAGACTCTGGGATACAAATAAAAAAAACGTCCCAGTAAACCGCAAAACAACAACCGAACCAATAAAATACAACCGTTGTGTATGCAGACATGAAACCTAAATGCTGAGAACGAAGCCAATCTGAGCAAAATTATATAGTTTTACATTAAGCCCATAAGGTTGGTCTCCAGAGATCGAAATCACTGTCTCCGTTTCATAATTCTAGGATGAAAAAATAAATTAAATTCTACTTTGGAAGTTGTTTGACCTTGTTTTCACAACTTGGTCACATTGGTAGGAAGGCCTAGAGGAACGTACCTAGTCCAGAGTCCATTGTATGCATGATTATTTCCAAAGTTGGACCGTGGACGTGGTAGTTTCCCAGACGTTTCGCCAGCATTGTCAGTGAGTCTTACCATTCGTAGTACCGTAGTACAGCTCGTCAAAGAGACAAGTAAAGCCCATCCTTTGACCAAACGTTTGCTAAACAGTTGTGGTATCTTCTCTTTTGCACTTGGCCAGTCACATTTTCTAAATCCTCCTATCACGCCTTATCTATCACAATTTTTTACCGTGCTTATTTTGATGTAGTGCGGTGTGCTCCTTCGAGCAGCATTTATGGAAAACCTTCACACTCCACGCTGTCTATCCTGTCACTATCTCTAATACCAAGTCTATGACTTGCCATGCCCTAGTCTCTTGTGTGCAAACCCACAAATGTTGTGGCACTGCTTGCTTTGATTTGGTTCAATGATGAACCACAACGTTTGTGGGTTTGGAACACACATCATTGAACCTAATTAAAGCAAGCAGTACCACAACATTTGTGGGTTGGCACACAAGAGACTAGAGTATGACAAGTCATAGACTTGATATTAGGGATAGAGACAGGATAGACGAGGCGGTGATTAGAGCTAGTTGACTGACAGTAGGTTTTACAAGAGACGTGGTCCATGTAGCAAAGGCATGATCATGAGACTTACTCAGAGGCTTTAGCCTCGAAGTAGTCACCCAGATGCAAGGGAGGGCGAATAAAGCCTTAAGTAGTACAGATAGGGAGACATTGGTCGAGTGAAATACATGTACCAGGGATTGCCGAAGGATTCGACGAGGCAAGAGTGAGACTTTGATAGGACCCAAGGAAGGACTACGTAACAATATGACAGACTATGATCAACATTTCCAGCACAAGGGTAAAGGGGGTGAGAACGACAGCGTGGAGTGTGAAGGGTTTTTATGAATGCCACTCGAAGGAGCACACCACACTAAATCAAAATAAACACGGTAAAAAAATTATTAAGGAAAGGCGTGATAGGAGGATATAGAAAATGTGAATAGCCCAGGTCAGAAGGGAAGATACCACAACTGTTTAGCACACGTTTGGTCAAAGGATCGGCTTCCCTTTCTCTTTGACGAGCTGTACTATGGTGCTACAAATGACGAGAGGATGCCGACTACGATGCCGGCGAAACGTCTGGGAAGGTACCACGTCTACGGTCCAACTTTGGAAATGATCATGCATACAACGGACTTCGGAGTAGGTACGTTCCTCTAAGTCTTCCTACCATTGTGACCAAGTTGCGAAAACAAGGTCAAACAACGAAAGGAGACTGCGACCATACAAAAGGCCACACCATCTTGGTCTTCATACCTTCGATTAAATCTAACCTTTTCTAAATAAATTGGCCAGTTCCATGGATAATTATCTAAAGTGCTTATGAGTTAGCGTAGCTGAGTCGGCCACAAATAAAAGATGTAAGCAAAGTCTAAGAAACACACATTTAAAACACGACATAGCAGTAGATATGAAGACGAAGATGCTGTGGCCCATGTTTCGGTCGAATTATTATAACTACTATAACAGAAGACTTCAGACAAGGTGCATTCAACTAGGTCGCCCAGAAAACACTACCAAATTGGTAAAAGAAAATTAAAAAACTTAAAAACCATGATATAGCAGTGTTAATAAAAATAGGAAAAGGCAGTGATATTTGTTTTATGACAAATAAAGGAAATGCGATCTGTGCATGATGACGCCTAAATAACAGATTATATAGGATCAGATACAAGCTAATTTGAATTCCAAACCACATACTCATATGGTATTATTAAATAAGAATAAAATATGAGCTATTTGCCAACCTCTGTTATGAGAGCTGTGAGCTCAGCAAGGATCTCCGAGCTGGTCCATCGAGGCCCGACGCCTGCAAGTTTGGGACAAGTGTTCACCCAAGTAATAACCAGAATCATATTGGTTTCCAGCTGGGACATTAATTTGTTAGCCGCCTCGATGACGACAGCAGAATCGAACTGATGACAATAAAATTATTTTGAGAATAGAAAAATTAGATGGCAATTATGCAATCATCCGATGTTTGGATATCTATTCCCCATTTATCTGATAACTGCCACCTGGCGTACTAGACATAAATTGGTATTGACACCTAACCATTTAGAACTCTTTACGTGTTTGCATTATTCAACTTAATTTTATTTTTACTGATTTTTGAAAAGTTAATTTTAATTCAACTTTGGTAGCTGAGAATTGTTCGACCTCATAAAGCAAAAAATAAGCTCGCATTCCCATTCCATTGTTTTGGTGTTATTTATTTACACTTTCTAAAAAATCTAACAAGGAGCTAGATGGCCAGATTCTATAAGCACTTGAGTTTAACATAGATTCTGGCATTGGCGAAAGCAGAGTCATTGGCCTGAAAAGCGAAGGTAAATAAAAGGAGCAAAATTCAACCCAAAATTCGGATGCATTTGAACATTAAGATTATCAGCATATCTGAGCTAATAAAATTTTCGATAGTCTTAAGCCTAGATACAATAATAATAAAAATTGACCTAACAGTAAATTAAGGTGTTGGAAGCAATCTATTTAATTTTGCGAAACATAAACTTACAGAAAGCGCTTCATGGAGGTGTTCATGAATAGACTTGTTGGGAAGACAGAGATCAGCAACTACACTGACTAGCTGAGTTAGACCGGAGCACAACTCTAGAGCACTTTCCAACCTTTCATGAATACGCCGGCTTAGCCCATTGTAGATCTAGAAACAAGAAAGAAGTTATGTAGAAAAACTAGTATCCAACATCAAGGATAGAAGTTAGATAGTGGCAATAAGCAGGAGCGACATCATGAAAAGTACCAGCTGGCCAATCGACTCAGAAAAATTGCAAAAGTTAAAAGCCTCTAATGAAGCCGTGTTAACTTTTAGCTTTTGAAATAGTGACGATGTCTTTCATATAATGGACGAAAGCTCAGTCGACTACATCTGAAACGAGGAAGGCATGAACCTGGACGTAAATTAATACAAAACGGGAATCAGACATCGTATTCTGATCAAGTACATCTACAGTTCTCTACATCAGGCTTTTAGCACAAGATAGAAATCAACTCAACGATAATTGATAGTAGTAGAACTTACTCTAGCTGTAATCAGCTGTACTTACTAAGTTATAACGTATATTCTTGGTAGGCCTAAAGTTGGTAACCGATAAAGCCATTTGAGATTCATTTTATGTGCGCCTGAACAATTTTGTTTACAAAAGTCAAGATAGATGCAGACGTAAAGTACACAAGAGCCACGAGACCATTTCATGTGAAAAAGGTGGCCCACTGTATGATGACTATCGTAAACGTACACAGATTAATAACAGCTCAGAAAATACCTACGCCAAGGGGAGACATAAATGTAAGGGAAAAAATTAATAGAATGCTTGCTTTGTGAGCATAGGAATCCATCGCAAGATCTAAAACATATCCAAACATCCAAGCCTATTGCTAGAAGTTGAAAAGCTTGATTTGTGGAATTTTTTGCATAAAGGTAAGTTGATATTAACCAAATGTAGATGTAGAGTATATATACCACTTTTTAGGGATTTGCCGGTGAGTTTTCTTGACTCGTTAGCTTGATTTTTGTTATGACGATGATACCTTGCTCTGATGATGTTCGGCATATGACGGACGAAAGCTTGGCACCTTTTCACCGGAATAAAAGGAGATTACCTCGGAAACAGCGTCAGCATGAATCTTCCAGTAAAGCCGATCGACAGCTGGTCAAGAGGAATCCACCGTCGTCTTCTGATGAAACCGACCTTCGAATCTCCTCACCCAACACTTACACTTGAAATGAAAGTAAGCTCAACAATTATGAAACTAGAGATTCCTCGAAACCCAACTTTTCTTTGCACATAGATTCTTAATCGAGAATTGACAACTCAGATTTCAGGGCTGCGAAAATCTCGATAATGAAGTGCTAAAAAGCCTTTAATGATGCCCTTTATCGTTGGCAAATTGACCATCATTTTTTATGACACCATGCACAAGTGGCGGTAAATATCTATAGGAGCGCATGTATTCCATAATCGAATTATGTAGGATTTCGGTACTAGGGTACCTAAAGTTCCTATTTAGATCTACTGATAGTCTCTAACTCCTACTTAATTAGAATGCAAGTAAGGTAGTCAGCCATAATGCCAAATACCTACTTGCTTCGGCGACAATCCTACTATAAAATATAATACAGAAGAGGTATGGATTGCTGGGAAAATAA